TCTTTGTACCCCTCAGTTCTGGGGATCCTTTCTGGGAATGCAGATGGAGGTCCTTAACTGTGATGAGATCGTTTGTCCTCAGCCCTGATGTGAAAACGCAGTTCTTGTCTTATGTCAGTCACATCCTTCACCTTCCTGGACAAAAGTCAGTGATGTACCTTTCACAGGTATGGTATTCTGTGATGTGGTAGGTGAAGTACAAAAATACCATGATAAGAACAGGACTTGTGCAATGTCCCAGATAGAATGTGCCACCAACTCATCTAACCCAGCCTGGCTGTGCCAGTCAGGAACAGCCTGGTATGGTCAGATGGACCTGGTGGTGCAAGGACTTTGGAAAAGTCCTTCCTCAGGGAGGAGGACCTGGACAACTGTAGAGAAGAAGGGCAGGAGGGGAGCAGAGCCCAGTTTCAGAGCAAGGCGAAAACCAAACACACAAAAATACCTAAATATGGGAAACTTAACATCAAAATTCAGGTTCCTAACATGAAACCTGCACCTGGGCCTGGCTGATGAACCAGACAGGAGTGGAGGGCAGTTTCTGTGCCTCGAGGCAAACCTGGCAGATGGGTTGCCCGGTGCTCAGCCCCCAGCCCGGGCAGGACCCACCAGCTGGCGCCTGCTTGCAGCCCCTATGGCAGCAAAGCAGAAGCACCCCCAGGTTCCCATAGCCGGGGGTTCCTGTTGTCTCCGGCAGATCTCTGTAGGAAATGTAGACCCTAGAAACACCAAGTCCCTGATGCAGTATGCTAGGAATCCAGGCAGGGCTTTTCTGGAAAAGCTGTAGGAGTTGGCATATTTTCCAATTGAGCACATGAGGCTCAACAAAGGAGTGTTTTTCCCTTTCTGCTCAGTGATGCAGATGCCATAGCGTGCAGGACTTCCGCGGGAACTGCAGACAGGGTCAAAAGCAACGTGCTATAGAAGAGCAAACTCCTTGTCACAGGCTGGACTTCTAGAAGCAGGGAAACAGCAACCAGGCAAATTGAAGAGCCAGTGGGATTGGAGGAATGAAGAGTCTAATGAAGGGGTATAATGAGAAAATCCTTGCAATGCTGTTTGTGTTGCAATCAATGGGCCAGTTTGGAAAGTCCAGGTCGGTTGCCCAGTTGGATGCAAAGCCCCGGCTGAAACACGTGGTGGTTGTGAGTCTGTGACTGGTGGGGTAGACTGTGGCACTTTCTGAAAAATGAGTGCACCTGGAGCAGGTCTGTGAAGAGCAATCCTATTCCCCTGCAGAGACAACAGACATCTGAACAGAGTAGCTGAGAAGGGGAATTTTTCTTGAATGTAGTGGTGGGGCTCATGGGAAGTTTAGAGGGACTTTGTGAGAGGCAAACCCTTCATAGGTGGGGTATAAGTAATAAGACTCATGCAGGTTGAAGGGGAAGGAGGAATGAAAAAGCCTCAAGAAGAGCAGACAGAAATGCAGTCACAGGCAGCGATAAGCTCCCTCTGTTGATGCAGGTAAAGAGGTCTGAGTTCCTGAGGCGGCAAGGTCTGCTGTCCTCTATCTTATCTCACAGCAGCCGTTCCTGTGGGCAAGGAAGGAGGGAGCCCACTTGCACCCCCTCTGCTTTGCATGACACCAGCGATCTCCTCTGCCAGTTGGTGGGTACCAAGGTGGTGGGCAAACAACACTGGGGGGGAGAAATCCTGATGGCATACACACGCACATAGGTGCTACTTGCTGGCAGGAGTCTGGCCACTTGCGAGGTCTTAATTGCAAGATTTGGCTGCAGCCCTGCCACTATGCAAAGAGCTGACTCTGCGGGATGCCTTTTCACATAGACACAGGTGTAAGACCCTGGAAGAAGATGCTGCTACTGTTGGCATCTTTTAGATGTCCTTTGTGAAAACACTGAGACAATTTTACATGACTGTCAATTCACTGGCTGCCCCAGGGTTATTCTATATGTCTCCACGCTTAGGACAAAGTCTCAAGCTCTTTCAGTCTGGTTACTTATCTAGATTTGTAAATCTGCTACATTTGAGCAACTTCAGGAAGTTACTGGCATTTCTGGGGTTTGCTCTTAAGCAGAAGTGCTGCATTAACTTCTTTCTCTCAGTGATGCCATTAGTTCTTCTTCTGCCTTAAAAAGATTCTGAGCTTGTATTTCACAAACATTTCTTATCACCAGCCGTCACCAGCTCTATTGGTTATTTCTGGGATCTCCATTGTCAGAGTTCAGTGCCTCAATACACTGTATCTATGCGCTCAGGGCAGTACAGAAAACAAAGGCAGATTTATTATAAGAAGCTCATGTAAATCAGAAGCTGAATCTGATAAAGGCATTAGCATGGACAGTTTCTTAAAATTATTGAGTTGAAACCAAGAAATCCAACAGGCTGATGCTATTCCTTGAGATCTCTTATTACTTTGAAATATCTAAGCAATATAAATGAGCATGTAATTCCCACTGATAGTGAAGTTCCCTGCACAGTATACACAGCTCTGGCACCATGTGAATAATAAATATGGTGTGGAAGAAGATGCCAAGAAGCAGTCAAAGTTCCCATTGTCTGTACAGACAAATGCCATCACTTCATTGCAAGATGG